TTTTGTGATTTTCCAAGTCTTATCTTGTTGACCCTCTCGTTACCGACAGATGATACTCCAAATGTTGGTAAGAATTTCCGTATTTCTTCTTTGTCCGAGTCCAAGCGATCCTTTCCATTTTTGGTTGAAGTTCCGGGATCCAACTTGTTTTCTGATTGTTTTCTTTATTGTTTATCATTTTATCTGTGTACGACAGTCGTGTTGCTTAGATAATTTTACATGTAGTAAGTAGTCTGTTGATCTGTACTCTACAGCATTTTCATTTAGGATTTACCTCATTTCAAATTGAACAAACACTCGAGGTGACTGATGCGGTTTTTCAACTCCTTTACCATTTCTTTTACATCGTTTTCTATTTTCTCCGTCTACAATGATGGTCTTCTCAACCACTTGCCTATATCGCATGAAATCCAAGTTTCATGCAATTTTGAAGTCCCAATCTTCTATTTCAGTATATTTCCGAGAAACACAACGACCGTCTCCATGTCGTGACGTCACAATCCTCTTATATGGTGATGTCTATTTATTTAATGATGTATGATTGTACAGGTGAAATTGTATACTTGTATATACGTAAATGTACGTATTCATAAAAGTACAAAAGTATACATAACATACATTTCATCGTATAGATATAGATTAAGAGGTGTATATGTTGAAGCAGATTGACATGTGTGTTTCTATTGTCAGACATGAATAGCTGTTCTTGTGTGACAGACGAACGCCCTAGGTTTGGATAATTTACATCATAGCTGGCAGTCATCTTTTTTCCTACTACCAAGTGTCGTTTGATATGTCAGAGATACTACCAAGTGTCGTCCGATATGTCAGAGACATTACTATGTGTCGTCTGATATGTCAGAGATACTACCAAGTGTCTTCTGATATGTCAGAGATACTATCAAGTGTAGTTTGATATGTCAGGGATACTAGCAAGTGTCGTCTGATATGTCACAGATACTACCAAGTGTCTTCTGATATGTCACAGATACTACCAAGTGTCGCCTGATATGTCAGAGAAACTACCAAGTTTCGTATGATATGTCAGATATACAGCCAGGTGTCGTCTGATATGTCAGAGAAATTACCAGGTGTCGTCTGATATGTCAGAGATACTAACAGGTGTCGTCTGATATGTCAGATATACTACCAAATGTCTTCTGATATGTCAGAGATACTAACCAAGTGTCGTCTGATATGTCAGAGATACAACCAGGTGTCGTTTGATATGTCAGAGATACAACCAAGTGTCGTTTGATATGTCAGAGATACAACCAAGTGTATTCTGATATGTCAGAGATACTACCAAGTGTCGTCTGATATGTCAGAGATACAACCAGGTGTCGTCTGATATGTCAGAGATACTAACAGGTGTCGTCTGATATGTCAGAGATACAACCAGGTGTCGTCTGATATGTCAGAGATACTACCAGGTGCCTTTTGATATGTCCGAACGTGTACATTACGTCGTGTTACAATTCCCACAGAATAGGCAGGTCTGAATTCATTTTTGCCAGAAATGAAAACGCCAAAGATTCTTATATACATCAACTGTAGTAGTTATACATACAGGTACTTTAATCAATAAACAACAATGTAATAATTATGTAAAACAAAATTTTAAAAACCGAACGAGTGACGTCACTTCCGGTTGATTGAAGAACAGCGATATAAAATTAAAATACGATATTTAGATGTGTATACAAAGATAGATCATTACAATTGAAATAGTTTCGGGAATAAACAACAATGGGTTTATAAATAAAATTAGGGACCTCTAGCACATCTCGACACCATTGACAAGTAAAACATCTTTGATAATGAACAATTGACAGTACATGCAGTAAACATGGTCACTATATCATCAGTCAAACTCGATAGTAACTAAACATAAACTGTCACCTGGTAATTAATGTTACGTATTTTATTGAAACTACTGATGTAATTCCCCAGTACCTCATTTTATAGAAATGTGTTTAGATGTGTTCTAAAGGATTTATTTCACAATTTTGACAGAAACTGAACTTTGTATATTAATCGATCTTCATGTCCACAGTACCTGTAGATGTCTGGATTTTAAGAGCATAATAATCTGCCCGTAATTGTAGACTGCAAATTAATCATAAATGTGGCAATAATGATCTCTGTATGTAATAAGTATTTATCTGTAACTGTGTATGTAATAATTCAGTAGAACGTATTTATCTGTAACTGTGTAATAATTCACTAGAACGTTTTTATCTGTAACTGTGTAATAATTCACTAGAACGTATTTATCTGTAACTGTGTAATAATTCACTAGAACGTTTTTATCTGTAACTGTGTAATAATTCACTAAAACGTATTTATCTGTAACTGTGTATGTAATAATTCAGTAGAACGTATTTATCTGTAACTGTGTATGTAATAATTCAGTAGAACGTATTTATCTGTAACTGTGTGTGTAATAATTCACTAGAACTTATTTATCTGTAACTGTGTAATAATTCACTAGAACGTATTTATCTGTAACTGTGTAATAATTCAGTAGAACGTATTTATCTGTAACTGTGTAATAATTCACTAGAACGTATTTATCTGTAACTGTGTAATAATTCACTAGAACGTATTTATCTGTAACTGTGTGTGTAATAATTCACTAGAACGTATTTATCTGTAACTGTGTAATAATTCACTAGAACGTATTTATCTGTAACTGTGTAATAATTCACTAGAGCGTATTTATCTGTAACTGTGTAATAATTCACTAGAACGTTTTTATCTGTAACTGTGTAATAATTCACTAGAACGTATTTATCTGTAACTGTGTAATAATTCAGTAGAACGTATTTATCTGTAACTGTGTAATAATTCAGTAGAACGTATTTATCTGTAACTGTGTAATAATTCACTAGAACGTATTTATCTGTAACTGTGTAATAATTCAGTAGAACGTATTTATCTGTAACTGTGTAATAATTCACTAGAACGTATTTATCTGTAACTGTGTAATAATTCACTAGAACGTATTTATCTGTAACTGTGTAATAATTCAGTAGAACGTATTTATCTGTAACTGTGTAATAATTCACTAGAGCGTATTTATCTGTAACTGTGTAATAATTCACTAGAACGTATTTATCTGTAACTGTGTAATAATTCAGTAGAACGTATTTATCTGTAACTGTGTAATAATTCACTAGAACGTGTAATGATTCACTAGAACGTATTTATCTGTAACTGTGTAATAATTCACTAGAACGTATTTATCTGTAACTGTGTAATAATTCACTAGAACGTATTTATCTGTAACTGTGTGTGTAATAATTATGTAATAATTGTGTGTAATAATTCACTAGAACGTATTTATCTGTAACTGTATGTGTAATAATTCACTAGAACGTATTTATCTGTAACTGTGTAATAATTCACTAGAACGTAATTATCTGTAACTGTATGTGTAATAATTCACTAGAACGTATTTATCTGTAACTGTGTAATAATTCACTAGAACGTATTTATCTGTAACTGTGTAATAATTCACTAGAACGTATTTATCTGTAACTGTGTAATAATTCACTAGAACGTATTTATCTGTAACTGTGTAATAATTCAGTAGAACGTATTTATCTGTAACTGTGTAATAATTCACTAGAACGTATTTATCTGTAACTGTGTAATAATTCAGTAGAACGTATTTATCTGTAACTGTGTAATAATTCATTAGAACGTATTTATCTGTAACTGTGTAATAATTCACTAGAACGTATTTATCTGTAACTGTGTAATAATTCACTAGAACGTATTTATCTGTAACTGTGTAATAATTCACTAGAACGTATTTATCTGTAACTGTGTAATAATTAATTAGAACGTATTTATCTGTAACTGTGTAATAATTCACTAGAACGTATTTATCTGTAACTGTGTAATAATTCACTAGAACGTATTTATCTGTAACTGTATGTGTAATAATTCACTAGAACGTATTTATCTGTAACTGTGTAATAATTCACTAGAACGTATTTATCTGTAACTGTGTATGTAATAATTCACTAGAACGTATTTATCTGTAACTGTATGTGTAATAATTCACTAGAACGTATTTATCTGTAACTGTGTAATAATTCACTAGAACGTATTTATCTGTAACTGTGTAATAATTCACTAGAACGTATTTATCTGTAACTGTGTAATAATTCACTAGAACGTATTTATCTGTAACTGTGTAATAATTAATTAGAACGTATTTATCTGTAACTGTGTAATAATTCACTAGAACGTATTTATCTGTAACTGTGTAATAATTCAGTAGAACGTATTTATCTGTAACTGTGTAATAATTCAGTAGAACGTATTTATCTGTAACTGTGTAATAATTCACTAGAACGTATTTATCTGTAACTGTGTAATAATTAATATATCTATTATTTAGTTGAAATTGTAACTGGATAAGAAATTAATCAGATTTGTAACTTATAAAAATACTCTAGAAATTAGACAGAGAAAAAGACTAGTTGTATCCTTCATTATATATGAAAATAAACAAGGTCTGTGAAGACGCTGTCAATATTTGCGTCCGAGTCTATTCAGAAGCGGTAGCTCTGACTACGAGACAAATATTCAAAACCAGATTTTCTACATGGAAAATTATGAACATTTTCAAGCGAGTAAAAACAGAACTTTTGTAAAATGGTTATTTCTATTTCTGTCTTGCTATTTAAAAAAAGGTCCAACAACGACGTTACAAATGTTGCTTTCTGTTTGATTTCACCATTAGTTCTACCCTATCCCTGTGTTGTTTTGGTCAGTATCTAACCAGACAAACAGCCTATAAATAGTGTTAAATGTTAAAAAGGCGTAATACTAAAGCAGATCAGTAGAATAGTTAGAGAATATCACAGACACATCTGATTTACACTTATCGTCCTTCACTATGGGTTTGGTAATAAGTGAGGTACAATGTATCAAGGAAACAGAAAGATTGTAAAATACACAGATTGACACCATTGCACACATAATGAAAACAAATATCATTTACTTATAATATAATATCATTTTAGCACTATCACACCATATACCAATGTGGTCCAAAACATACCGCAGTATAGATAACACCATCTATTTCACGGTACTCAGAGCACTCAAAGCCTTTTGCTTCAGATGAATTTGTCGACCAGAAGTTGTCGTACAGCTTCTATATGTGAACGTTCATTTTGGTCAAAGTATTTTATGATATCCGATGTCTTTTTATTCGAACTCGTCACACACATTTAGCCGAATTCCTTCTAAAACAGACTATCAACTGTTCAACACCAACAGAGCGTCAAGAACAAATTGCTTCAAACATTTTGATTCTGGCATTTTCTTTTGAACAATAAACGTATTGATTGTTTCGTTATTGAACACAAGTGATCGTTGATCTAACTGATTGAATTAATGGAGTTTGTAAACAGATCTGATAAACTACTGCTTGAGTGGTCCGATTCCATATGGCTACTGTGCAGTTCTGATAACGAGGGGGACGAGCTGATGTCAGACATAGCTGGGGAGCCGCTGTCAGTCATCTCGGATAGCGATTGGTTCTCTTTGGATTTCTCATCCTCGGGACTGTCTCCTGCTTGACTTCCGCCCTGACTTCCGCCCCCGCCAGGTTTGTCGTCCTGTTTGAGTACGTTCCTTCTGTACTTAGCTCTAGCGTTCTGGAACCAGACCTGTAGAATATGTTTAGAAAGAAGATTGTAAGAAAGGATGTTTATAAGACAGCATGCTCATTAGATATCATTGATTCTAAGTACACCTTGTAATCGACAACCAGAACAACATTCTTAAATGCATTTTAAAACGTATTTTAAAAAGTGAATGTCGATTGCTTCTTAAAGAAAGGTAACATGATACTGAGTTAAAATTGAGAGAAAGAAGAATCATGTTAGAACCCTCTTCAGCACGTGTATATTAATTAGAACGTCGATTGGTTGCACGTGCTCTAATGGATGCACCCGCATACGTTTTGGCGCACGCGCACCTCATTGAAGATGGGGGAATGCGACAGCAGGTGCGCTGATCGTGGCGTTAGGCCCTTAAAGCAAAACTATCATTAACGGTCCACAGAGACTCTGAATTCTCCAGGAATGTTCAGTTCCAGACATCTCCTGATCCTCGATCGATAAAGTTTCTAAGAAATATATCAACTGGATGGGTCTATCGAAAAGGCGGTCGTAAGTCGGAGCACACTAAGTTTGGCCAATAGGCGGTCGTAAGGCAGAGCACACTAACTTAGTGTGACCAATAGATTCATGATTCAAATTTTATTCAAAACTTAAGGACATTGGCCCCTCAGCTCAGCACAACAACACAACAAATAGAGAATAATTCTCTTTTATATGAAACAATACGTATGATTCTCAGTTTGTTGCTTCCCAAATAAATTTCCTTAACGCACATAATTCGTTAATGTTCTGGATATCTAACAACTGACTAGCCTTAAAAACGAGAGGGGGTTGGGTTCAAACAATATCTCACTTTTAGGTTTTGAAATTTACTAGAGATTAATCCAAAATTACATTCATCTTCTACATTAAGGGAGTTACATTGTTTGACAACGCTTTTTTCTGTCGGCATATTTCTGTATCTCCTTTACTCTGTAGTCAGTGACTATGAAGGTGGTCATAAGCCAGAGTACAACAACTTAGTGCGGCCAGTGGGCGGTCAGAAGTAAGATGTTACTAACTTAGTATATCGAATGGGCGGTCGAAAGTCAGCTTTCATTAGTCCAGCAGAAAGAATTTGTCTCGACTGTGATGTCACAAGATAAAAAGCCTATTAACAAGCCACGTTAATAAAAGATAACAATATTCAAGTTTTACTGTATATATTTAAATTCTTTGTAGAGTAAATGTTCTCTGCACTTGTGCCTAACTTGGTCTCGATGTTTTACTTTGATGCCCCCCCCCCCTCCCCACCCCCTTTCTTATTTTCCTTTCTGGTCGACGCTATTGTTTTATTTGTATTGTTTTGAAACAGCAGTTGGTTGGTATTACAAGTGCTTTTCATATCAATCTGCGTGATGTTAAATGTAATAAAACTAACCACACAAGCGTACCGGATGGTAGCGATATTTTGGTGGCGGCTTATGCGGGACAGCAGGGGGTATGTGCTGTGTCTATAAGATGAATTAACTCGTACCTTTGTGTTGACAGTACACTAAGGTATAACATTCGAATACTGTTAAACAATACACTAGTTTCAAATTCACACCTTCAATTTTGCTTTAAACTTGAAAACATCTTTAAGAAAACACTAAAAGACATGGAAAATCTTAGTTTAAATTCGCGTAAAAGGCTTAGATCGTGTCAATGCTTGGAACCGAGATATCTTCAAATATTTGATTATCTTATGAGATCCCTGTCGACCAAACACTCATGTTGGCTGGTCTTTGTGTGTCGGTGATATTCCGCCCACACCAGCCATCATCATGTCAGCTTCGGATCGACACAGGTGTCCAGGCCTGAGGTATCGCTTTCAGAAGTGCTATTTATACGGCAGTACTGTATTCCTTTTTCCCATGCAGAATATCAACACCTTCATAGGCATGAATCTTCATGGTTTACTTTACCGCCCATGTGCCCTTGTCAATAATGCATACGAAATTTCAAGTTCAGTCAACTTTGTGGCTGTTTTAAAGGACACTTGGAAAAACCACCCTTGGCTAAACATTACAGTATACAAAGTTCCTACCTGTAGTACGCGTTTGGAGAGACCCGTTTTCTGCGCTAACTGCTTGAGGTCTTTGGCATCCGGGTTATGATTCAGTCCGAAGTACGACTTCATCGTCCTTAACTGATGATGTTTAAACGACGTCCGCACTCTTTTCTGTCGCGGAGGTGGATGTGTCCCGTAACCATCTTGCCGCATCATGTCTCCTCCGCGTTCGTGTCCATCTCCAGGAACCAACCCTGCAACAGCACGGAACGTTTTAATTTTAAATAGAAAAAAGTTAAATAACAGTTCATATATACATGCGCAACTAAACACGGGACACTTTTATCGTTAGCGCGAATCTTTCTTTAAAAAATAAAGCTTTCAAACGTGTGACCTTTCTTACAAATTTTTGTTCTCAATATGTGAACAATTTTTTAACAAAAAAAAACTGCACTTTATCGGGAATAATTTTGAAATATATATATTCTTCCTTTTCAACCAATATCAGTTTTATATTCACTGACAAACCATGCGATAACGTCTTTCCAGTTAGTGATGAGAGAAATGCGTTAATGTGGGCTCGGCTTGTTTATATTGTATACGTTATTTGTCCATCATTTTCAACAACTTGCATAGACTATCGATGGTTTCCAATCGTAAAATCAACACAAGTACTACAAAGACGGTCTAGTTAAGATGAAACGTGGACTGACATTGGACCGGAGATTGTTTAGTCACAGAGCGTGGTATTCAATGAATGATAATATACTCCTGCTTTCATGTTCAAAACTATTCCATGTTATCTTTACGGCAGACGAAGAAACAATGGCGTGTGGAGTAAACAACCTGCCTACCCCATCAGTACTGGCAGGGAAAATCCAGCAGACCAGGGCAGCATTTACACTCGATTTAAAAACCGTCTTCATTGCAGTGATAGAATCAGGTATTTTTTTGGTTTTCACGCTCTTATTCCTAAACGCCTGTGATATTTTGGCTTGAACATGACTGTATTCAATACCCCTCCCTCCTCACAATAAGAAAATTAGTATCATTACAGAGCTCCCAGTTAAAACATCCGTAAGTACGACCCAAAATGGTTGTTATAATGCTACAGAATATCTAAAGGATGATTACAAGTCCTCAGATGTTAAGATAAATTTGGTACAATCACACCACATTGGTAAGTCTTCGGGCGTTCGTAATTTTATGCCACAAAATGCTTTGTTACAACACCTCTAACATTTCATTGAGGTTCTCGGGTACAAGGGTTAAGCTGAGTACTGTTTAGATAATGAAATTCGTTACATTTCCATAACACTTGAAAGTAGTACTTCGAAATACGAAGAATAATATAGACCAACGCCACCTCACAAGGGGGCGTGTCCACATACTCTTTAGGTGTATTGTGCCATTCGTTGTGAAGGTTTAGTCTGGTACAACATACGAACACTACTCAGTAATATATCTGTACTCCTGAAAGGGTTGGATGAGAACATCGTTTTTGTTTACTTATCAACATGTTGATTTCACTGGTACTATTAACGGAAGGAAAATTCTTGTATTGATTTGTTTTATGGATTTATTATCTATCAAGGTTTTGTTTGTTCATAATGTCAAAATATAGATATTTTTCTCTTAAACCACTATTCCAGCATATAAACTTTATATTTATCATAGTTTTAGCTTTGTTCATGCTAATAGAAATTATTATTTATCTTTTTATAATTAAAGATATAATATTACCTACATTTCAATTTTCCTATATTAATATCTTTTCATGACGTCATTAGATGTATTTACGTGTTTATTGAGTATGTTAAAATATGTTTCTGTTTACAATGTTTCAATGATAATTTTTACAAAATCAACATGTTACAATACATTGACAGCATTATATAGATAATCACACGTATAGGTATATATTTGTTATAACACTTTCGCACGTCAATCAATTTAATATATTTTAGTATATCTATTTTAACAATGTTTTATCCTTTTTCTGCCAGTAGACACCTATTTGGTATTTGTGTTTCAATAGATTGGCTAACAGTATGACGATTTATCATGTTTTTCTATATTTTTATGTTCAGTGTATATCAATGTATTATATCTTAGTATTTATCGGTTCAATACTATGTTAATATCTATTTTAGTACATCTTCATTGCTTTACCTCATTTAAGTTATGTCTGCTAGGAAGATATCGTTTTACACAATATCAATATATAATGTAATAAAGAGAAATGATTATTCTACATTTACGATTACTGTAGTCTGTAGTGATTCAGTCATAACATATAGACCATATTTATTAATTATTATGAACGATAAAGATATAAATTACTTTGACGTCCAAAGTAACAAAACTGATACACAGGTGCTTTTTTCCTGTAAGATCTGATCAAGTCAGCAGAATACGTTACAAGTATTTTTATTTGTCAGGCTAGAAAACCTGGTAAACATTATTGGTTTGATGGCGGATTCAGTAACGCTAATTATGTGAGAAAATGCTTCGAATTACTCAATGGACGCGGACGTGTTCAGATACTTTTTTTCTAATGTTGGAAAATGGTGTGAAATTTACTGTAAATGTTGAGGTAAAGCTTACAATGATATATGTCTTGAGTCTGGATCCTATGTATTGACTATCATGGTAGTGATGTGGTAAACAGCGTGATAGATATTACCCAGGCCTTTCTCTACATACCAAATACACGGCACTCTCCCCGATCAACACGCCACATAAATCAACCTTACCTCCTGCATCAAACCCAATTAATAACAGACCAGCCCTCGTCAACTTCTATAGTATCATATAAACTAATAGTGGTCAAGATTTATCGAAAAGTTTGTGATCTTATGTGCCTGCTCTGTAACTTCAAAATTAATACTATGACAACAGTTCCATAACATTATGTTAGTAGTGTATGCAAATAGAGGCTTGTCCTGGTTATTGTACTAGATTACCAAATATCCTAGATTAGTATTTTCTGACATGAAAATATTTGACTCATAGCTTCATATATGCGTTCTTGAACAGACAAACAGTATCTTCGACAATAATGTATCTAGCTGTTTTGAAAAGTTAATTTGTTTATTCAATTAAACTTCTGTGACATTTTTGCACAATTTTGTATATTTCATAGCTCCCCATGTCTTTTTAGAACGCAGACAATATACTGTCTTATGGTACTCATCAGCATCCCATTCCTTTCATTCTATATCTATGTGTACTTCTGCCGAGGCAAAGTTATCCCAGGTGCAAATATGTCCTATTTTTGTGGGCATTTTTTGTTCATTCATTGTGAATCCAATTCTTCATCAATCAGCGCCTTCATCTCCCTCTCCACTTCACCTACGTTACATTGACAGAAGCATGTAGGCTTTACAGGCCGCTCCGCACGATTTGGCACCCTCCGCATCACGACCGTAAATCCGTCGTCCCCATCTCGCGGCTCCCCCCTCCCCAGTACATGGTTATTTATGCGAGTCTCGATATCGTCTTGATAACGGCAATCTGTATCAGAGAAGAGCGCACCTGTTGTCGCTTTTCTGTCATCTGCCAGTTCAACTTCCGCTGAAGTCATCTAGGAAGTTATGACTTTGGTTACAACGACAAATCGGTTTCACTTCCGATCTTACGAGTTACGAGGGGAGGAGGGAAGGGTAATGGGGAGCATGTGCATGAAGTTTGTCGCTGACAAATTCATGGACTGACAGTTTCATCGACTCTGGGGTGTAAAATATCTTGACATGACATTTTGACTTTTCAGCGTAGTTCGACTCCTTTTCAAACACATATCTTGCTATAACCTTACGTGTTATTTTCGGAACATATTCAAATATTGACAACAATCTATCTCATTATTAGAGTCATATAATTGAATAGGACCGCACTAAAATGCAATACAAACTCTTCTTGGCATTAAAACAATACATGTCAGTCTACCGTTCAATCATATTGATAGAAAAAGAGTTTAACATCGATAAACCAATATAGGATAACATTTGAATACACCAAAGTGTATCAGAAAGACGTTTATTTCATCGCCCAGTGGCTTAATTAAGATTGATTTGAAATTCATGTTTTTCATATTAAACACACAGAGAGCAAAGATGCACATAAACCTTTTTTTATTGACATCAAATATTAAATATGCACTTCTAGACAACCATATCAACACAAGAGTTATTAGAAGTCGTAACATCTAAAAGTAAGGTTTTTATTGCTTAACATGACGTTTGTATTAGGTTATAATTATCTCGTGATGTCGTCTGTTTGGATGTGATATTATGGCATTTTTATATGTCTTCCAGAAAATTTATTCAAAACAAGAGTCAGAATCTGTCTTGTTATTACCTCGGCACCTGAATGTTAATCCTCATCTGTTACAATTATTATGAATTTGTTGGGGCTGTTGTTGTGCAACCATTTATTCTCAGTGCAATAACATTTCAGCAAGTCTTTAAACTATCACTCAGCACTAGGTGGATGTTTCAGAATAATTGGGTTTAAAAGTAACCATAAAACATCTCAAATGACTGGTTTACAAGCGATTCTACCATCGGTATAAACACGGACTAGCTTTCAACGCTCTCGTCATCAACAAAAAATCATCTTCAGTTATACTCATTTCTGTCATTTTTGCTTATAACTTTATGAATATTGATTGAAATAATAATAATACATTTTAATTTTTGTTTTCGAAAAAAAGTAATATTGTTTGTTTAAAATCTATATCAACATATAAAGCTGATTGTGCTCTCTTCAAATATATTGTGTTTGACAACAGGGGGCGTTTTATTCGTTCAAGAGAGTGAAGCCCCCCCTCCCCATCGCTATACAAGATCCCCCATGAAGATCGAGTGATAATTCTTATTGCCATGTTATCACGTGGTTTTAACAGCCGCCATTAATTCTCATCCCCTCTGTCATTTTCACTATAGTTCCAAGTTTTCTACACAGATACATAAGACATAGATTGGCAGAGCGGCAATTCCTAACTGGTTCCCTACCCTTGTCCTCGTTTGTCGAGTTTCTATGACGACGAACTGATAGTCTGTCTAATTAGCCGATTCTTTCACACAAAAACGAAGTTTTCAACTGTCCCTTTACAACTCAAGTGCAGATACCTCTGAAGTCTGGTCGTTGGTTTGTTTTATTCGCGCTGTCTCGGTTAAAGCGATGCTGTTCTATTCCATATTTCACGATACGCCTACCGTGTGATACAAATGTCACGTGGTTTTTGAAACTG